ATTATTAACGGTCTAGACACCTAATATTATGGAACAAACATGACAATGTCTTCTGATACAGACTTTCAATGTTGGTCTTTTATCTTTGGTATTCCCGCAGCTCATTAAAAGGATTTAAGTTAGCTTTTGAAAAAGAACAAATAAGCCCCAAACTATATTCCTCTAAAACACTATAACACAGTGTACTTGGAGGGCATAATTTGATCAACAGCACAACCAAACTCATCAGCGCAAGATGTTTCATGGAATTTTATAATACAATATCTTAAATCTATGACAATATCACTTACGTAGAGATTGCAGAGTTCTTTTTAAAAGCTCATGTCAGACCATGAATATAACAAGGATATACACAGCCCACATACAAGATAAGCAGACTATACTCAAAAAGTAATTAACATTAAAGATTAGGAAGAAAATGAAAGGCAATTTACATGATTAAACTAGCAATGAATTAATTTTCATTGAATTTTGATAAATTTACTAAGATAAGCTCTACAGCTAAAAACAAAAACAAAACAAAATAAACCTCCAAATTGCCCCAAGATCCCTTAACCCCATAAAGGCATATTCTGTTTAGTTTATTACCGGCTTTCAGTGTTATTCAACTAATGGCTAATAGGGTCAAATTTGTACCCTACTAATAGGGAACCAGGTGATACATAAAACATGAGGATATTTTTTACATTAATCACAGTAATTCATTACCTGGTCAATATGATTATCTCAGACCAGAAATTAAAACGGAATGGAAAGATGTCCTGGCAAGAACTGAGAAGCAAGGAACCAAGGGAAGACAAATAGGTTATTTCTAGATGAGAGGATGATGATGGAGGAGGAGGAGGAGGAGGAGGATGATGATGGAGGAGGAGGAGGATGATGATGATGATGGAGGAGGATGAGGAGGAGGAGGATGATGAGGATGATGGAGGAGGAGGAGGATGATGAGGGATGAGGAGGGGAGGATGAGGATGATGAGGATGATGACGATGATGGAGGAGGAGGAACTGGAAAAGCAGGTGAGAGGGCAAGATGAGAACAAGCCTAAGAATAATTTCGGGTTTATTCTTCATTACCTTACAGAAAAAAATTTGAGGTAGCCTAATGACGCTTTAAAAAAATAAGTATTTTTAATTAAGAAAACATAAAAAGGTGGGAAATACAGACTGAAGAGAAGAAAAAGAGACACAGACAAGTTAAAAATCTGCATCAATGGCAGAGCTGCTACGACTGGGGAAAATGGCTTCTTGATAGGTTTCTGGTCAAGGCAATGAAGACAATTTGATAATTATCAACAGAAAGGAGAGCAAGTCCTGCAGGCAGACAAAGTTGCTTTTATAACAAATTCTAGGAACGATGTCGGAGAGGCAGGGTTTAATGGGCCCCACCCTCGGCCATACCTTCACAGTGAACAGAAACAGAAACAGAAACGCATAACTGCTAAGATCCCTCCCACTGTCCCAAAAGAAGCAGATTTTTTTTTTCCTAATTACAAAAATGTATGTGCATTTCCCTTTCTGGAAGAACAGAGGACTAAGTATTCTGGACGACTCTCTTGCTAAAAGTGAAAAATGCTGAAGGAAAAAAAATGTTATCTTTGTAAATGCACCACTGACCGGGCAGAAAACCAACATTCCTCCAGAGGCCGAGAGAAAAACAATAGCGGGAATCCAGAAGCCATGCGGTTGAACTCTGCTGACCATGGGATATATATTGACATTTACACAGGGCCTAGGACCCACCAGCATGGGCCTTATAGGAGGAGACTACTACATGAAGCTGACAACTCAAAGAAGACACTTCCAGGGTCACAGCAAATCAGATTAATTAAATTGGCTTCCCAGAAGGAAGGAGACAGCAAGGAAACTTGACGCTGGCCTTCCTTGACCTTGGTGTGAGGTGAGAGGAGGTTAAAAAGCCTCTTCGGTGTCAACTTGTGAACACAAATTGACCTTCACACAGAACTGAGGTCAGACTTCACATTACTTCCGTGATCTGCAAAACCTCAAGCTGAGAACGAATTTCAAAGCGACCAATTACCCTGGTATTTCCCCTGGGCACGTGGCAGAAGCAAATAAACAATCACATTTCATAACAAATTAGACCATTCTCATTAGTATTCCTTTTCACCAACATAACTCTACATTGATCTGAGGTCCTTCCTCATCAATGTCTAACCAGAAAAAAAAAATTTTATATAAGAACAGGTAAACTGCATGTTAGTTGTTGGTGACAACTGTCTACCTAGAAAATCCCACATAAACAACTGCAAAATTATATGGATGAATTTCATAAGGTCAGCAGACAATGGGATCTACATTTTAAGAAACCATTATCAAGGAAAATTGAACATGAACTAGACATTTGTAGATATAAAGGACTCAGCTCATCTGGGTGATGTTAAGTGTCGGGATTCTATTTTAAAGTTTCTTATAGAAACATTATGAATAAAATATATCTAGAATTCACTATTAAATGTTCCAGGACTGAGAAAGAAAGCGGGTGGAGGGGAGAATCAGTCGGGAGGAGGAAAAAGAGGGAAATATATTGTTTTCATAAGAGAAATCGCTCTCATAAATTTGGAACAGATGCTTATGTTGCTTGATAGATAACCTTCAGCTGTTTTTAAAAGACCCCACTAATCACACCATTTGGGTCTGGGCAGTTTTGACAGTACCCACCCTAAGATAACACAGTACCAGCCTGTGTTGGCTAGATTCACAGGTTAAAAAAGCAATGGCCTCACAATATTTCAGTTGTAAAATTATCCATAGGAGAGTAACTTTTTGGACATACAACAAAAATCAATTTCATTACTTGTCCATTTCAGCTGTATGCATTTTAGGATACCTGAGCATAATTTTATGCTGCAGTAATGAATGTAAAATGAAGTCTCCTTTAACCTTCATGAGTCTCTTTTGCTATACGAATACATGGTGACAGCTATGGCAGTTTAACTTTACAAAGGTCCAGATAAGATGTCTGTCACTGCATCACAAATAATATTATACTTATACTTCAATTATCCAATCCTGCATATTTTTCCTGTTTCTCCTATTTACACTTAATAAGTTGCCATTATTTGTTTCCAAAAATAACTCATACTTTACCTATGTCAATCAGTGAATGTGATACTTTAAGTTTTTAGAGAACTAAAGCACTTTGATAATTTTTTTTAAAGAATCTTCTTAGCTTCTGAGATAAGAATGTTCAATACCCTAACCCTATAAAATTACATCGTAGCTTTGACTTGTACAAATTTTGCCAGTAAACAGGGCAAGTGCCATCTCTATTTTTAAAATAAAGGGCCTATGGTTAATTGATTACTCATAAAACCAAATCTACTTCCAGTCCTCAACACAACACTTCCGCCTAAGCACATATGAAAGCAGCAGACCATTCACTACCATGAACAGGTAAAAAGCGGTGAAACGTACACCTCTGGGCAGTGTCTTGCTCTTCCTGAGCTGAGAGGTGAGCAAAGGTCCCTCACATCAAAACAAGGAGGCACGGGAGTAAATCTGTATTATGTGATGGCAAAGCTTTTTCAATGTCCATATTTCGAATGCCATTCCAATTACTCTAGTGACTAGAAACATCCAACTTCCACAAATGACTGGTAATCATGTGGGCAGCTAACCTGTGATTATAATAATTGACAATGGAGAGAAGGATTACCACAGGGCCGGAATCCAGGTGGCTTCTCCCAGTGCTAAAGAAACTTACCACGGGAAGCAGGCTGTGGCCCAGAGACACAAGCAAACAGCAGGACTCTCATTAGAAAACCGTGGTCTCAAATTCAGATAAAAACACTGAAATGTTATCTAATTATCAAGTGGTGCATTTACCTGAGTCTCATTTACATATGAACATCTATTTTCCTTCCTTTAATATCTACATCATAGCATAGAGTGTCTAATGCACCAGGGCTGTAATTCCAAAACATATCAGAATGCAAGATATTAATAGTACATCCCTCAGATTTTTCTTGCTAAAATGATTTAGGGAAATAAGGCATATTGTTCACCTTGTGGCATATTCATGAATCTGAGATGTCCTGCACATTAGACTCACTGAGCACAGTATTTTCCCCACAGTTATGTAAAAAGTGCTTTTGGAATATTACAACAAGGCAACATTGTACCAGAAAGTAACTGTGACATGGCAGAAGACTCTGGAGTTTTTGAAGGTTCTTGGCTTCTGTTCCCAGAGCTGCCCTAAACGAGCTCTGTACCCTTGGATAAACCATTTAATTATCTTTGGGCTTCAGTTTATGACTTGATCCAGGTTTCTTCTACCTCTAAAATTTATTTTTGTATAAGTGAACATATTACAAAAGAAACAGTATATATAAAGTTCTCACACAGCTCAAAGAATATGTTAATCTGAGCCTTAAAACTGACTCAAAGCATTATTTGCTGCTCATTCATTATGAAAACTGCTGTGGTCAATGTTATTCCCTAAAAGATATCATGTTGACAAATATATCATAGTTTTAATGTGGCCTCATTAAAATGTACCCCTTTTCAAAGTCACTAAATTCTCTTAAATTGTATACTCCAATCATTTGGAATTTCAAAAAAGTTCCTAAAACAGTCTTTCATTTCTCCAAGATATTACAAAAGGATTTAAGCAACTTAACACATGATCTGAGTGACTAAAGCTCACATATCGAAGAATGAACGGGTGGCTGTATGGAGAGGAGATATCTGGAGGCCTCAAAATAGGCAGCCCTGGCTAACCCACAATGTGATGCAAAAGGCTGCATCCTCACAGGCTGGCTATGCTCTATCACAAACCCTTAATTTCCAAGAACTGATAGTTCACGTCTAGTTCTTCCAACAGAAGTCACGATAACAGAAAGAGCATGTTTCTCAATGACAACTTTGGAAATTAAAAACAGCAAACATAAATAGGCTTTAAAAATAGAGATTCAAGACTATCATAATATGACCATTTGTTAATATGCTATATACTACAAACCTGAAATAGAAAAATACCTCTTTTGATTTTTCCTCTTTGGTAAATCTTCCAAATTTTTCTATCATTTCAGCCACAAATATAACATCCATCTTGTCAGAAAAGTTGGCTGCTTCCACGGTGTAAGCCAATAATTGTCGGGCTGTGGCCACAGCGTTGCTAAGATTGAGGGGCATCTGCATTAAAAAGGCAAAAAGAAGTATTTAGCAAACTGACCAACAAAATTTTGCTGTTTTAGCTTTGCATTTCAAAACACTGCAATGGATTCAGACTTTATCATTTACTCACCATGACCTTCTTAAAATGCTTTTTCAAACCCGAGAACAATGAACTGTTAACGGGAAATAACCTGAGGGGAATCTTTTAAAACTTGAAATGAAATATAATAATACATAAAAGCACATCAGGTAAACATGCTGCACCATCTCTTCCTCTCCACTTATCCAAATTCTAGACAGACTCAATCCCGATGGCTTAGAACAACCTTTCCTGAGTATTCCAGCTGGGCGGATCAATACCTCTCCTGTACAGGAGTACGAACCGCTTATTTTGCACTTACCTGTACTGCGTGCATTGCCAATCGCGTTTTACAATAGTTTATTTATTGACTTAAACATGACTGAGCACCACGCATTGCAAAAAGGGAATACTCCGGGCACAGGACCCTAAGAAAACATGGAACACAGCAACATCTTCCTGCTGCTTGTATTCTCGTACGGCTTATAAACGATGCATAAAAGCAAAGACAGCAAAAGGCATCTAAGTACTGCAAGTATGGACAGGGATCACTGTGACAAAGAAATTGTAAAAGGAATCCAAGAAATGGCTTCCCGGGTAGATGTGAACAATGTCTGCTGGACGCCGATGATAAAAATTCAAAGATACAAAGTCAGGAAAAAGATTAAAAAATTAAAAAAAAAAAAAGATAAATTTAAAAAACCACCAAGGTACAAAGTCAGGCAGTGACAGGAAAGGAAGTGACTCCACATAGAGGGCCTTAAATACCAGTGCAGAAAACTAGACTTTATTCTGAAGACAGATCAGTCAACTGAAGTATAAATGCCAAATCCTTAATATTAAAAAAAAAAAGAAAAAAAAATCTTATGTATTTGGTTCAAACATCACATTTTATTAATGACCTCAGCAAATCTGAAGACTTTCTAGTTACCTGATTAAACATATAAAGAACTCTAGTGACATCATTTGCATACTGGCAGCGAGAATAGTCATCATCTGCCCAGAAGCCACCTCTGTCACATCTGCGCCAAGCCTTTCTCTCATCCTGAGTGTTTCCAGGATAGATCCCGCTGCCGTGGGTATTCCGAGTACACTGCAGATAAGCAGTAATGCCTGCCAACGTTCGGGGCCACCTAGAGAGATGAAGACAAAATAGTATACGAAAAATTACACTGACACAAATTGTAACAGAGGAAAAGTAAGGATTAGAGCATGTCGTATACAGTCACAGAGAAAAGTCAAAGAAACCAAAAAAACTCCTTTAAGGATAAAGACCAAAATTATTTTTTTAAAAAGTTAACATGGATTTAATTGTTTTAAACTATAGGCCAAGAATATTTCAATACCATAACATAATAGGATATTTTCCAAAAGACTCTAAATACTGCTATAAATACACAGGAAAACTGTATCTTATCCAATAAAAAATAATAACTATGCAACAAATGGTTTTGTGTTTCTTTTTAATTACTGTTATTATACTGCTAGCTTATATAACCACCAGGATGTTTGCAGAAGGAGAGTAAGTACATGAGCAGAAAAGAGCTACCATAGCAGGTCCAGGGCTGCAATCTTTAGCAAGAATGCACTGGTCTTTCAGGGCATTTAGGACCTTGGAACTTGGAGCATTCACATGAACAGTTAACAGGCAAGAGTGTTTAGCTGTGCCTAGAATGCCTGCACAAGCCATATGGTTTATGCTAAACACTTCTTTCTTCCTGGAGGCTGAAACTTTGGTACGTGCTAAGCAGAGGGTGCTTATGTGACCACAAACAAGAACTTTGGGTGCTGAGACTCCAATGAGATCCCCTGGAGAGAAACACTGCTTAGAGGCTGCTGCCTTTTCATGGCTGGAGAGGAGGCTTTTTCCCTTATGGACAGCTATGTACCTTCCTGTAGCACTATAATGTATCTTAGCTGTGACTACAACTGTAGGCTGAGTCCTGTGAGTCCTTCCAATAAATCTCTGCATGCAGGGGTGGTCTTGAAAGACCTCCAACACAGTATAAAACCAAATTTACCTGGGAGAAGCCACTCCCCATGCAAATGACCATACAAACTCACTGACACGGATCATTACTAACTGGGTTGGAAGAGACCTTTGTTATTTGCGTTCCATTTCTCCAAAACTGGCGACGAAATCAAACATGTTTAAATAAAAGTTATAGCTAACTTGTAACACAGGAACTACTAAATTATAATATTAGTCACACCAAAATATAATTCATTACTAAAAACTGCATAAATAGATCAAGCAACAGTAAACTAAATTCTTAATGCAGTGGAAGTTTAACTGCATAATATCTTAAGGCATTTCAAAAGATAATTAATCAGTTAAATAATTAATTCTTCTATTTTAAAAAATGTAGAATACTCAGAAACTATGAGTAAAAACAGAAAATCCACTATAATAGAAAATATCGTATTATGGTTTAATAAAAGATGTCAAACATAACAAAATTAAGAAATGTTATCTATTTTGCTTTAAAGTATACAAAATAAATATTATATATCCACAGTTAATGCACATAAAAGACTTATCCACTGGCAATAACAAACGCTATTTCCATAATCTCATGTTGAGAATTTTTTTTTTTAAGGACAATTAAAAAAAAGCAATGAAGAACTAACTGAGCTAAAGATACTGTTATTGCTTCTTCACCTTGAATTTGAAAGCTTAACATCAAAGGGTTTCCTTATCTTTAAAAACTGGGCTTACCGCCACAAGGCAGCGATAGCAACAATCACAAACAATACAAATTGGGTATTCAACAATCTTCACGCTACTTTAAAAAGCAATGTATTTCTCTTCCTTTAAATCAACTATAAACTCACTATTAAAATCTTAAAAATAGAGAACATTAAATGATATATTTAATGATATTGTAAAGCAACTTTGAAAGTCAGGTAAAAGTTGTCTAAAGTAAAAGTTGTTACCTATCACAAATTTTAAACTTTCTGCTAAAAATATCATAACATGTAACTCGTTCCATATATCTCGACATGGAGTCCAACACCAATGGCTCCCCAAGTTTAAAGCCTCCTAGGCTTTCATTTCCCAAAGTTCTTCTTGCTTAATTGCCAAAAGGACCAAAAGGAGAAGGAAAATTCAATAAGTGTTTTTCCTAATTTTCATGTCTACTTAACTGCTAACGGTTAAAGCGATTTAGCAATACAAAACCTTCCAAAGTTCGCCCACAAAAGAGCCACTGAAAAAAAAACAGAAAATACCATAAGCCTGTCTAAATTTTGCATTATTTTAGTAAAATTTCCAAAATGTTTCCTAAAGTAGTGGTTCTTAACTTTTTCAACAAAACTGCTGTGTTTAAAAAATGAACACTTCCGGATCTACCTTCCGAGACTCTTAAATCATTGGACTGGAGATAAAGTCCAGGCACCTATTTTTTTTTTTAAATCTCTGTAAATGATTCTGAAATCACTGCTCTAATGGGTCAACCTTAGATATTTAAGAAGATATACAGGTATGTATATCTGAAGACATATTCATTTCTCCAATACTGTTACTGAGGACAGGAGACCAATAATGTGCCTTTGAGAATAAGAAGGGATGTGGGGCAGTCGACGTTTCCAGCCCTTTCCACGTCACTGACCTGAAGTCCCCTTTATTGTTCACCACCCTCTCAGGAGGACAGTACTGTGCAGAGCTTTCTAACACGACAATATCGACAGTTCTTGTATTGTTCCCGCGTTTGGTCTGGACATGACAGCCCCAATTTCCAGTCGATCCAGCCTGAATATTAGAAATGGTTAGGGCACTGCATGAAGAAAGATTTTAAAGAGAGAGAAAATAAGGTTAGGCAAAAAGGGAAAAACAGGGGCTTCTGTCATTCATTTAGCAAATACGTCTGAAGGCACATTGTGGGCCAAGCACTTGCTAGACAGAAACAAATTTAAGAAATGACCCTTCCATTTAGGTAATTCAGCAACCAGTCAAGACAAGCAGGTACAGGGAGACTTAAAATACTATGGCAAGAGCTACGATGGAAGCGTGACTAAGGTGCAATGGGACACGATGCCTGAGACTTCTTCCAGAATAAAGGAGAGCTGGGAGGCGGGGCAGCAAGTGCAAAGGCAGATACATCATGGCACATTCTTCAGCAAAACTAATGGGAAACGTCCAAACTACATCTACCTTTTCACTGATTCTAAGGAAAATATTCAAGCAAAACATATTAATATTATGACATGTATAATTAAGAAGATATTTAAGGTAAAATATTTTGTGGAAGAAGGGTTATACATGAAATAACTCATTACATCTCTAAAAAAGATTTAGTAAGTTACCAATCAATGGTTTAACAAAAGAAGTTTCCCTGTAAAGGTATACTTCAATTTATAAAACAGGTATATGTCTAAATAGCTGTCAGTAAGTTTAATTTGCAAGATGAAGTCATAATTCTCTAATATAAAACCTATTAATTAAAAAGTGTCAGAACCTTCAATTAACATTTACCCCCCACACCCCCACAGGACCCATTATGCTTTGCTTTCGAGTAGATACAAACGATAATTAGACATAAAGTACCATTTAAAGTAACTTATAAAATTATGTCTTGAAGTCATATACATTTTTTTCAGTCTCCTAAATCATGAATGGCTACACAACAACAAATGTTCTAATAAAAACTTTGAGGCACTGTTTATTCTGAATCAGTGATAATATTTATCATCTTTCCAAAGTTGGTAAATAAACCAATATACTCTAAGATGATGTTAGACAATAGGGTTTGACATTAAATTTAAATAACCAAGAAAGTGTATCAAACATTCTACTTTATGACTCTACTGAACTAGGAATAAGTGTATAAAAAATATCTTGGCAGTGAAAATTATTCTCTAATTCAGAGGTTTCCTAAACTTTCTTGGTTCACAAGAAATGACTAGATGACTTCACTGACTAGATGACTTCTTCATGGTATGCCTAGCCCAAAGGAAATATCTATTGAGGTTGCGATTACTGAATTAAATCCCCAAACTGTGTATCTTTCCTAATAATTTAGTAGTTATTTGAAAAAAATAACACATTATTAATAACAATTTGATAAAATATTTTATTCTAAAATAACCATAACTACTTCCTATTGGGTTGTGTATACCTGTTAAACACTCCAAAAGTAATCAAGCATCGATGATTTTTGATTATTTTTTGTTCCATAATGATTTTCACACAGCACTTGCTTTGAACCACAGTATTCACCCAAAATCCTACATCCCAAAGTAGAACACCAGCGAAAGGAATGCAGCAGGATGTAATGCTGATGCCCTAAGTGCCTGGAGCTAGAAGCTGTGTGGTGTCTGACAAATGTCCAGTATCACTATGCTTCCTTACTCAAAATACCACAGCACCACTGTAAACCCGCTGCAGTGGCCCAGGGCATGTCAGCACGCCGACGTGAGCTATTTTTCTAAAGACATTTCACAAAAATTTTTTTTTTTTAGATAACTTTTAGCGGTATCTTCGATGTCTAAAACCAATGATCGGAATAAAATTTTCAGGAAACATCAAAGCAACATATTTCGACACTTAAGAAAACAGAGGCGGCTTCAACTGCATCTTTGAGGAAAACTAGAAACTGATTCTTACACATAAAGGATGGATGACATGAGGAGATCAAGGAAGAATCAACAGGTATCTCAGGTACCAAATCAATAACCATATTTCTTTTTCTACAACTTCTTTGTTATTCAGAGGCTAACTCTGGGTAAAGGATTCTTAGTCTTCATATGAAATATTTTTACTTTAGTCAAGTGTCCCTACCAACAAAAATATCAGGCAAGTCTGCTATCCTTAGATTTTTTTTCTACTGCTATAAAGAATTTAAAGTATGACTTGAAGAACATAAATTTGTAAAGTTAATCTAGTTACTTTCTAGTCAAAAAAATTTAAGGGTTCTAAATTAACCGAAACTCATCAGAAAAGGGTTCTACGTATTTTTAAAGTTATACTGTCATATCATTTGTCAATTATCTATTCATACGATAACTGATTAAAATGCACAATTTGATGTGTTTTAACATATGTATATACTTGTGAAATTATCACCAGTGAATCACTTACAATCTCCAGAACAAAATCTGACATTACTAGAAATATATATATATATTTTAAAATAGTCAAATGAAAAACAATCAGTGATGGTCCCAAGATGACCCAGTTGTTAGAATTAGCTGGTAAGAAGTTAAAAGCATCTACTATAAATATGTTATAAGACATAAATGAAAATATGCTTCTAAAAAAGAGAGAAAATCTCAGTAGAGAAACAAATTATAAAATAGAACATTCTATGCCAAAATTCCCAGACATAATTCTGAACTCAGAGAACCTTTAGTATCTTGATAATTTTTTCATGTCACTTCTGTGAATCTGCTGTGATACTTTAACTCTGGACTGTGCATACAGTATTGATATTACCCGTAGTCTGGGAACTACAGATCTACTCTTAAAAATTCAAGCCAAGTTTTGTGTTTAAGAAATTGGTAGGGAGAAGAAAGAGAGACACACAGAGACATAAGAAAAGATCCAATGCCTACAAATTAAGATTTTACTAGAAGAAAATACATGGTGAGTGATAACATATATATTTTTACTGTGGGTTTTTTGTTTGTTTGTTTGTTTTTTGCGCTTTATAAAGTTCATGTGCATTAACTATTTTGGTGCTGGCACCAATAATGGGGTTAATAGAACAGATAGTATATTCTTTTATACTAGAAGGGTAGAGAAAGACCCTTAAAATGTAGCATTAAGCATAAGACAGTGAAAATTAGGTAATTCTTTTTTTTTTTTAAACACACTTATAGCACCTGGTCTTTCTAGGTGGTCTCCCATTCAAGTACTAAATAGGCCAGATCCTGGGTCATTCTTAAAATTGAAAATTTGAGCTTAGCAGCAGGAACTGGTTAGAAATTAAATTTGTCACTAAGAGTTTCTATTTTTCCCTCTAAAACTTTAAACGGAAGGTCTTCAACTTTTTAACAGTGTTTTCTTCTTATCCTATGCTTTTTTTTCACCGCAAAACTGGATAGAAAAGACAGCTCTTTAATTTTACAAGGTGAGTAACAAATAGGAAAAGGAAACACATATGTTTGCATTTTTAAATGCAAGAAGATAAAATATTGATTCGGATTCGAACATTACAATTCTCTAATGATAAAATCTAGACACAATTCCTTATTCAAAAAAGTTTTACCTTGCAATCAATGAGCAGTTGTGAATCATATTCTTTTCAACAAAGATACCTTGTGATTCATCAGTTTCAACTATTCGCCCATCCTGATACCATAACACTTGCATGTCCTGATCAATATATGAAGCCATGCACTGGAAGGGAAGGCTATCACCTTCAAACACAACTTGACGATGAGAAGGAGTCATGTAGAAAGATGGTAACTCAAGGGGAGGATCTAGAGACGGTAAAACAAAGACACAGTAAACAAATACAAGGCTACATTCATACTTCAAAATTCAAAGTTATGGAAATTCAAATTAAAACTTTAGAAATGCAAAAGCAAATATTCCTCAGTAACCAGCATTTAAATGCTAGCACCAAATATGGCTGCTACTGAGATAAGTGGGTCCCAGATGAAAACAAAATTAGCAAATTTAAATTAAACTATTTCATAATCAGTTCTGACATTTAGAGTTATTCCTTCTCGGTGGTATCACAAGACCATCAGATTATCACAGAAGCAATACTAAAAGAACAAACTGTAAAAATGATACTTAAACTTGGAGAATGGAACTGGTGATGGGAAAATACTGATATATACACAATTAAAAAATACATTTTAGAAACTGTATTACTTTTGATTAAACCACAGGTTTCTCGTTATAAAAGTAATGCATTCTCGTTGCAGAAAATTTAGAATGTTTAAGAAAAGAGAAAAAAACCTTTCGTGATCCCATATATTATAATCACTTTTAAAAAGCTGATATATTTCCTTCCAGTCAGAAAAATAAAATTTGAACATATATGCAAAAATTATGCAAATATTTTGGGCTCATTAAAAGCCTTTAAAATATTTAGTCCATTATCTAACATAACAATTCTACTTTTAGTAGTAGTTTATCCTAAAAGATATCAGCACATATGCAAAGAAGTATAGAAGGAAATTAATCCTTGCACTGTTTATGGAGTGAGAAATTATTAACAACTTAAATGTGCAGTAATAAGAAAGTTATGACATTCTGACTACATCTATATAATGGATTGGTATGCATTTTTTTTAATAGAATGAGAAAATAAATTTACATTATCATCTCAAGTTAAAAAAGGTCATTAAATAGTATGAGAATATATTTTACTCAAAACACAGAAAAAAAGATGCATAGTACACCAAGGTATCTTTGATATGAGCTACCTTTGAGTGATGATAATGTAACATGGGCTTTTTTTTTTTTTAGGTTTTTTTCAGCTTTAAGTATAATTAACAAAGCTGTAAAATATTTAAAGTGCACATCATGATTAGATGTATGTATTCATTATTTCTTTCATAAATCTTAATTTTTATCCAATGAACCTATTTTACTTGTGAAACACCAACAATGAAAATGATTATAAAGAGAAAAGGAAAAAAATGATAGGATTGTTTATTTCTAAACACGAAGACCAAACTGGAATCTCCTAACATTTTAAAGACTTTTTGTTTTTGTTTTCTTTTTTCATTTAGCACATGGCAAATGTATTATTTCCCTTGAGTCTTCTGATAGCTTTCAAAGTCATGATTTTTTTCAATAGCTGTATACTATGAATGCATGTATCACAAATAATTAACTAATGCTCTATTTTTGAGAATTTCAGGTATGCTTATATACTACATCTGAAGATTTACATATATAGCCGATCATTTCCTAAAAATAAACTCCAACATGTAGAAATTACTAGATCAAATTGTACCAATTTTTAATTACACTGATACATATTGCCAAACTATATTTCCAAAAGGCTGTATCAATTCACACTCCCATCAACAAATAGGATTGCATCTGGGATTTTATTACTATCAATCAATTCCCAATTTGCCAGCTGATAGAAAATCTGAAGATCTACACTAGTCTCTGACGTTGGTTTCCGTAAAGACAGTCACAACCTAAGAACCTTAAATATCAATCAAAAAAAAATTTTTTTTTTTAATCCAGCTGACTTAACTGTTGGTATAAACTAAATATTATCAAATCTATGAAGATTAATGGTTGTAATCGGTCCCGTCAAAGTGTAAAGGGAATTTTACAGTCTGTCAAGAAAAACACAGTGGCAAGTAAAATACGGCAAATGCTTTCTCAGCTTTTCTCTCTTACCGCATGTCAACAACTCCTGCTTCACACCTGTGACCGGCTGGGCCTGCAGAGACTTGGGGTAAACACACCGCGTGTCCCGTACTGTGACGTTTCTCTCCTTTACCCAGCGATGCATCCACAGTATGTTACAGTCACACAAAAGATACTCAGTCTGAAATTCTCTGTAGAGTACGGAATACAAATTAGAGATTACGGTGAATGAAGTTAAACAGCACTTTTGCTTTATATTGGCTTACGCTTTGGATGGTCAACATGCTGCGCCTCACCCTTACCGGGCTCGTGGCATATCCATACACTGTCGGCCGGTTATGGTCTCCTCCTTCCCAATGACGTTACCTGTAATGTCTGACTCCAGCATGGTCCCCACTGATCCTGGGACTGACTCTGCTTTCAACCAAAGCTGCTATGCAAACAAAATCTAACCACTATCCCTCATTTATGTAACAAGCTCTTCAATCCCAGGGTTCTGGAATCCCAAAGCCCCATCCTTTCCGTCTATCAAACTTTTACCCACTCATCTTAAGGCATGTGGCACTAATACCAGATCTTGAAGCCTTCCTCAATTTTGCCAGCCATCGTTGCCATGTTCTTGGCTTAAACGCCTACAAACTCTCCTGTTGATTTTGGCAACATAAAGTGACATATGACTGTTTCACATATTTATAATCTCTGCTGACTAGAGCGTATATTCCTCAAGGGTGGAACCTTTCTGACACTTTCTGCTGTGTGCCAAGTAAGACCAGTTATTTACAGACTTAAAGAATACAGATACAACCAATCAACAATAGAAGACCTGATATTAAAGAAATACTTGATACCGAAGAAAATAAAGAATTACCTTTATATGTGGTAAGAAAGTTTATAATTTGGCACTTGGGTATAAGAAACAAAGAGGACATACATAGCTTGACTATAAGCACAATAATTTCTTGAATACTTGTTTTACAAAGCGCTGGCTATTCATGAGCCACACGTTTCACTAAGTCCAGCTAATAAGAATAAGTGCAGACACTGTGCCCCGCCAACCTGGAGGACATTACGTAACAGAGGGAACAAAATGAAAGTGTAACTAAAATAGAATGCAACGTGTTCTATGCAAATAAATCAACAAAGTGCAAAGAGCAAATATAACCATGTTTGCTTCTAACACAGACTGACTGTGTATTTACATGGGCTTCCTCTCATTAGTTTTGGCAAAAAAAAAAAAAAAAGTGTGTGGGGGAAGATGGGATGAAATAGAGCAAAGAGGAAGTAATTTTAAAAATAATCACAAGGATGATCAAAGTGACTTCTAATTTTTAAGCACCACCTTCTGGTCAGTTTCTAGCACTACCAGCTAAAAACACTGGCAATTTCTCCCACGTTTTGGATAAAAATACTTTCCATATCCCTGCTACCAAGGGTCTCAGAACCCAGATTATTCCTTGCATTCTTTTTGGTTCCCAAATTTCATGGCAATGGCTGACTTGAATCCACTGACTGTGCCAAAGGGAGACGTTTTCGCTAAAAAGCAGCCTCCTGGAGAAGAACGGCAGTAGCACGACAAAAGAGACCCAATCGAGCTTGATCCGGTGTGACTCTGGAAGTACACACACGTGTGTCTGCCGCGATGGTGAGGAGCTCGAAGAATGCCCAACCTAAAGCTACATCCCAGTGAAACTGCTAAATGAGACTTAAATGAGAGGGTTAAAAAAGGAGACACGAGGCTGGGAGAAAAAGGGAAGGAACAGATACAGGAAAGAGAGGAGGAGGAAGTCCCCACAAAATGAAGGAACCTGCGAGGGAAGATAATTTTCCTTGGAAAAAGTAGCTCGATCCCGTGAATTACACACAATAAAAATGTGAAAAACAGCACATGTAAATAATGCCAATAGAAATTGGTATAATTTATAGTTTGAAATATGAGAAGGTTTATCTGGAAATACAGTTGCTTTCAGAAGTAACTCCTATATGATCATGCAATTAACAAAACTGTCTTCGGGGGCGGGGAATCAGGCAATTCTAAAGCTACAGAAAACTGTGTTAATATGATCTTACGCTGACTTCATAAAGCAGGCATTTGGCATAAACATTCCTAGAAATGTAATAAGTTGTGAATTCAGTTTGGAGAAGGGGTTACAGAATGTAAAATTCTGAAAGTATAAAAAATTCTTAAGTACATATTCTTCAGGGGAAGGGATATTTTACACTTCAGAGATTTAATTAGACAAATAACAAAATGTTTCCTAATTTGAAAACAAGGTCGAAGAGAAAGAATTACCAATTTATTTACTCGAAATATAAACTGATAGTATTCTAGGGAGAAAATGGTTGTCTCTGTCTGAAACATATTGTATTAAGGTTTACGGCATTCTTGTCAATGTGAATGCAAGCTCTCAAGAAAGATTCTAATTTCTGCAAAATCACAAGATTTTCCCCACGAAGTCTCTTAATTCATTAATTTTTAATTTTCAAAAACTAAGATATATTTATCAAAACAGGAGAAAAAATTCTTACTTACAAAGACCGTAATGATCCAAGGTAATCAAAAGTTCCTTGAGATAATGAAGAAAACAAATTCCCTGAAAGGTTTCTGGAAAAAAAGAAAATTTCACATTTAAAAATGCTAACAATTATGTATCATTTTATACTACTTCATATTTCCTGAAGTGTTCTATAATCATTAAATATTATAAAGAATTTATAAAAGTTGTTTCAGATCTTATAGAGAGGGAACAAGTAGTAAACATTTCTCTAAGGCTGAAGAAGAAAACAGTTCTTAACCTTATATAAAGCAGTAAACAAGATTATTTAAAAATTATTACTTCTGGATAAGGACTTTTCTATCAAATATCAGATGAACTTGAAAGTTACCTTACTGAACTAGATCTTTAGTCATGCTCTCATTGCAACAAGAATTACTCTTCACGTATTCACTCAGTATCATTTAAGGCAAAAAAAAAAAAAAAATAGAAGGAAAGGGATGACCCCGAATGACCAGCAGCAGCAACCCACAGAACTGAGCGAGAAACATCAGCAAAGTTGAATGAGTCCAGGGTTTCAAATGAAAGATATGGAATATAATTCGGTGTTGGTCTTTTCTCTCTGTTTTCTTTGTATCAAACGGCTTTAAAAATACCTGCCTAAACCCTTGCAGAGTTTTCTATGAATTAAAATCCAGAACACCCTATGCTACAATTTGAAGAGTCTGTTATACCCATAGTGATTTGAGAGAAGTATTTCTTCCATGACTATGAGCTCCGGCAAAGGAGGGACCTGTGTGTCTTACTTTTTGGGGAACCTCTGGCAGCCAGTAACATGCTGAGGTATATAATAGGTTCTCAGTGGTGGTGGCTGACTGTTCAGGATGTGGAACTCACCTGCGGGAGGCTTCTACCATTCAAATGGGACTTCAGGCTCCGGGAGAGTGGCAGGCAGTATGACCCACCCACCACAAGATCAGTCAGTTCTGTGCCTGCTCTGGTATCAAGGATAGATATAATTTGGATCTAGAGTTCTCAAGGAAGAGGTCTAAAGACCTGTCAAGAGGCCTTGGAGGTGAATGCTTCAAGTGTGGGAGAAAGGGACAATAAGGTAGATGGATTCCCCAGTGGGGAGAGGGAAGAGAACTGGTCTGGGAGAAATCAGCTGTTCCCATGACACCTGCAGCAATGAATTTCTGGAGGTGAAGACTTAATACCACACAAATGACAATTAATGCATAACGAACTTCAATCAGAACATCACAGGATTGGTTTTTACATGTGTCTTTTGGTATATAAAAAGACAGGATAAAATAATTCTGATCTTTACAGAATTCCCTAGGAACTTAAAAACAAAAAAGAATATCTGTAAATTAAAAGAACAGTAAAACAGATGCCTTTTCCTTTCTCTGCCTATCAGAATGGATACCAAATGTGGATTGTGAAAAAGGTACTGCCAATGGGAGCGTAAATCATGAAAACATTTCGAGAAAGTAACTTAGACGCCATCAGAATGAAAAACTACACTTTTATGAAGCTATCCTATGTGAAATTATATGATTACTGGGATTTGTTTAAAATAACGTAGGTAAGAAGATGAAATGGAAGATGCAACTAAAACGAAATTGGCTTTCAGATGCTAGGTGTTGAAACTCGGTGATGAGTGCAGGGAGATTCCTCATACAATTATCTGTTTTGTTTTTTTTTAAGATGTTGAAAGATTCCATAATAGTAACTTGGAAATAAAAACTTATCCTACAAATAAAGAATTTAAGTATAAACAAAATAATTGCATCTTACAGGAAGCATTGCATTCTAATTATTAGGTATTTTATTCTAATTATTAGGTCTTGTTAGGTTATTCTTAGAAACCACGGTGGAAAGCATCACATTGGAGGCAGACATTCCATCCTCCCAGTAAATCCCAACACAAACCCATTTTTCCTCCAGGGTTGAGACAGACCGCTATTTGGCAGAACACCAAACTAAGTAACTGGCTTCAGTTCAGGGGCCATAAAAACATACTCATATTTTAAAACACTAGAATCCAGCTCTGAGATGCTTATAAAAAAAAAAAAAGAAAGAAAAAAAGAGAGAAAACTGAGAATGACAACAGGTACAGCAAAGTCACTGCTCCCCTGTCCTAATAAGCTCACTAAATGGAGTGGCAGGTGAATCATGTACCCACTCCTACTTCCGCCCTTTAGTTGTTTCTTTCTCTCTGGTTTAAATTTTCTTTATTTACTTACTTTTTGTTAAACAGATATATTTGAATTCCTGTAAGTTAAATGTGTGTGATGCATCATCTGTGTATATACAGGGGTGTTTACAAGGGCGGATTTGTAAAAAGAGGGGAAAAGGCAATCGAATGGCATCTCTTGTAACAGAGGAATTAATGACTCAATTCTAATGCTTCAGACCTGAAATATTGTGTAGCTGGTAACAAGCATGAACTAAATCAACACGTACTCAAAGAATATTCATGATATGTCGGTAATTTTTCTAAAATGTAAATTGCTTAATATAGTGATATTTTAAAGTCCCATATGTATACCTATGTATTTGTGGGGGTGATAGAAAATCTGAAAATATATACACCAAATCGTTAGTACAGCTACCTCAAGGTGTCATGTCTGAGTGATGAAGGGAGATTTAACTTTTCCTTCACATCTCCACATGGTTTTACTACTTGATGACATCGGTAAATTTTTAATTGTATAAAGTTCTTATGACTATCCCTCATCAATTATTTCTGATAGAAAAATATTAAAGGTATAATTCTTAGAGAAAAAATATAGGTTTTAAACTGATCAAAATCCATTACAAAGGGAAAAATAGGAAAGCTTTCAGTTTGTTGATCTCCTGACAATTTCTCTGTCAATAACCTTCCCAAGAGAAGGGCAGAGACGTCGCAGAAGTCTGCTATGGGTCCCCCGGATCTTGGGTCTGCCCGGTATTTCCAGTGTGAAGGTGGGATGGGTGGGGAGCTCTCAGGTTTGGCCTCACTTCTCCAGGGTAATTCCTCCCCAGACTTCATCGACAGAGGCAGAGATCCATCCCTCAACACACACAGACACCCATGTTCGCTGAAGCCTCTGACATGTTTTAACGAAGTTACCTTTGAATTTTTAAGCTAAACCTCCAAAGTCAACACTTGTTTTAATGATGAGGAATCTGGGTGAGAACACTACAGGCTGTCGGCCAAGGTTTCAACCAGGCCCTGGGGCCCCAATTCCAGCAACCTGGGCCAGGAGGCTCAGTCAGTCTGAGATCCCACATTCCAGGGTGACCCAGAGAGCTCAGCTGAAGAGGCAGCAGAGGAAACAGCACGGTGTTCCACTCTTGATCCCCTTCTTTTGTATCCTTATTCTTTTGAGTAGGAGGCAGTAAAAGGGAACGCTGATTCCTAATCTGAGAAATGTACTACATGCTCCATTACTTATCAGATTCTCTTTTCTACTTGTTAGACTAAGAAAATGGTATAGTCTCCAAATCAAAAATACAAATCATTACCAGCCGTCACAACAAGCATACAGCCTGGCTCAGAGAGCCCGGAAATCTGGCAACTGCAGCAGCCTGTTCAAAACGCATGTCCAAACCTTCTCGGTCCATAACAGTAGGGCGACTGAAGTTACTATGAGCAAATAGGCTGCAGTGCATTCACCAATGTTGTTTTTGGAAGGGGGTTGTGGTGGTAGTTTTGCCTATCGTTTTCTCCCCCTGCTAAAGAATTAGTTCTTTAAAATTTTTTCTAAATTAAGATATAATTGACATATAACATTGTTCTGAGTTTTAGATGTACAAAATGATTTGATAGATGTATATGCTACAAAATGATTTTCACGAGTTTATTTGACATCCATCACCACACATTTTTTATAATATTTTACAAATATTACAATTTTTTTTCCTGTGAAAGCTTTTAAGATCAACTCACTGAGCAGCTCTCAAATATGTAAGACAGTATTTTAACTACAGTCACCATGTTGTGCATTACAACCCCAGGACTTACCCATTAACTGGAATTTTGTACCTTTTGACCACCTTCACCCATTTTGTCCACCCCAATTCTTGAGTGTTAAGAAGCTACATCAGTTACCAAAATGTTTTAGGACAGTATTTAAAGGTTATGAGTCAGGTATGTTTCTGTAAATGCCGTAGATTGCTGCATTTAAAAGAGCCACGGTAAT